CATCCATCCATCCATCCATCCATCCATCCATCCATCCATCCATCCATCCATCCATCCATCCATCCATCCATCCATCCATCCATCAAACCATCATCCATCCATCAGAGCTTGTAACCTTTGTCAAGTTGAGAAAGAGACTGAGGAGGCAGAATGCCAGACATGAAATGGACGATATAAATTTCAAGATTTGAATCAATCAGAAAATATTTGGACCATTTAAATTCTTGATCAGAAAACTATCAGCTGCAGATTTCCAGTAGTATAGTTTTGGCTACATAGTTCTTTAGAGTTTTTTTTCTGCTAAATAATTGATGATAAAAATAGAATACAAATATAAATATTTTGGATATTTGTAACTGTGAGTGAATTTGCATAATTGTTAATAAAAGTGTAGTTACTTTGATAAACACTAAATAGAGCAGAATTTTGAACAATATACAAAGCTCTCATTTGCCCTTTAGATTTGTGAAACATTCTAAGCAACGGAAAGAATAAATAAATAAATGATAAAGTAGTAACAAATTTGCAAAAGAAAATTTTAATAAATTACTGGATTTATGACAAGAGGTTTTTTTACATTTATGATACATTGTAGCTTATTGCTAGAAAAAATGTTTTCAATGGTAGGAGATATGCTTTGTTCATATGTTAAAATAAAGGAAGATTTTTGAATACAATATAACTTCGCTAATGGGATTTATTAACTGTATATGACAAGGGATGTTTAGCCTCTGTATGTGTATACATTATCTTTCATAATGCCTAAATAGTTTAAATGTTTACTAAATGTTTTTTACTTGAGTCTTGAAATATTGGTTTATTTGATAGATTGGTAATATTACAATAAAAGAGGAAATTTGTAATTTACTTTAGCACTGTTCTTTTGAATTGTCCAAAAAGAAAACCCAAATAAAGATTTTTACTAGCAAAATAGTGACCATTTTTAATTAAATTCTAACCAATAAAAAGAAATATGTGGGTCAGGGGCATGACCTCTCCTTTGTGAATACACAATGTTTTTTTGGAGTGTTACAAAAATGTCGTAATAAGTTGTAACAAAAAATATTTCCGATAAATTAGCTTTTTCTGTCTACATAGACTTTCTTAGATGTTTGAACTCTTACCCATCATTTAGAACTCATCCTCTTTAAGGCTGCTCTTTTTTCTTTTTTTTTTTTTTTTTAAACAAACAATCATGCTTGAACTGTTTCCAATTATTAGAGAAATTCCAGAGAAATCTTTATATACAAAAGAAAAAAAAAGAAAAAAAGAACTATGCTAAAGGGCCAAGACTGGCTGTCCTTTTAGTTGTGTATGTACTTGGTGCTCAGGGACATCAGTAGCAAAAAACTGCTGATAAGCAGGATAGTTTACTGTGGTTTGCACAGATTTCAGGTTTTTTTTATGTGGGGCAAGAATGTTTGTTTTGGGGGAATAAATGTTTTCTTTTGTATCTTTTGTATTTTCTAAAGTAATTTCAATTAGAAGAATTTGGTTTACAAATAATTTCATTTGCTTGAAGTTATTAAAAAAATCAATTAAATTCAGTTTATTTATATAGCACCAATTTGCAACACATGTCATCTCAAGGCACTTTACAGTTCAACCAGATCATACACTCAAATTGAAGTTTTTTATCTAAGGAAAACCAGTTGATTGCATCGACTCATTGACTCAAATGCAATCCCTCACACTAAGCATGCTTGTAGCGACAGTGGAGAGGAAAAACTCCCTTTTAACAGGAAGAAACCTCCAGCAGAACCAGGCTCAGTGTGAGCAGCCATCTTCCGAGGTCGACTGGGGTTCAAGGAGACAGAAGCAGAGGTGCAAAAGGCAACTGTAAAATGCGGCCCCCTCCAGGAAACACACAGCCAGGCAGACGAGCTCTGAGCCAACTCCCATGTCAGAGGAGGAAGAGAGCACATCCAGCCAGTCAAGGTTAGAGAAACAGGACTGCACTGGAAAACAGGCCGAACTCCAGCATCTATAAACAACAGTGTTGATGGCAGCAGCACAGCTGATATTTCTCTCCAGGATGGTGTCACAGCCAAACAGGAACTAGCTATTATGACAAAAAGCAGAGAGAGCAGAACGTTAGAGATTAAACTAGCAGATTCTGCAGAATAGGAGAATAAGATAGAATGTAGCAGAATGATGAAATTGGGGTCCCCGTGTCCTCCAGAAGTCTAAGCCTATAGCAGCATAACTACAGAGATAGCTCAGGATAACCTGAGCCACTCTAACTATAAGATTTATCAAAAAGTAAAGTTTAAGCCTAGCCTTAGAAGTAGACAGGGTGTCTGCCTATAATCACAAAAGTATCAGATATTTTCAACATATTTATTTAATTATCACTGTTTTAGCTTTTACAGGTTGTGGCTTAAACAACTTGATTAGCAGCTTTTTTCTATTCACAAGAGAACTAGATACAATCAAAATCCTTGTCTTACTCACGTCCCACTTAATACCCTATCCAGCCAGAAACAAACCTAGATGGGCTCCAGATACACATACTGGCTTGGATCCAGTTTATTCACCCTTGATGCAGCTCCAAAACCCTTTGAAAAACATTTAGTGTGCATAAAATGCATATTAATTTTTTACCTTGAAATGTTGTTTGCTGTTGGTGTGGGACCTTTAAGCTCCTCAAGGTTCGGCTCTTCTAAAATGTTTGAAGCCATTGGTGCCCAACCAGCAGCACATACACTCTTTGGGCTTTTATTTCCACAATGTTTGCGAATATCAAAACAAGTGCAAACATCTGTGCACATGCAGAGCAGATCGTCATACAAGGTACAAAGCGATTTGCGGGTGCAATCTAGCTGACAGTACATGAAAACTTTTTTTTTTTTTGCATGAGTGCTTACCTTTGCAGAACTACTGACCAGACAAGACAATTTTTTGGGTGGCGGCCACGCTAATATAGATACTTGCCAATGGCAAAGCAACTTGTCAAATCTATTTATTACGTTTGAAAGTCAGGTGCAAGATGGGATCAAGGAGCAGGCCAACACAACTTTTCCATTATCTTACACATTTTTATGTAGTTTGATGTGGAAGTAAAATAGTATCATTTGAATCCACCTTTTTTTAAACACTGAATTTAAAACACAAATTTTTTTCTTTTAGACATTGAATTCATTACAATGAATATTATGTGGTACATATTAAGTTTAAAAAAAGCTTATTTATTTTACTTCCATAGTTTGAGATGCTCATGTAAGTGTCCAAATGTGTCTCTACAGTAAAGTAGGGGTGAAAAACTATAGTCCGTTTGGGCTAAGGTAAAAAAAATCTTGAATGTGTCCCTGATCCAACAAGTATGAATAAAATTATTTAATTCATTCAATTGCATCCAAGTTTAACATACCCCTGCTCAAGGTCTAATAGTTTGATTTAGGTGTTTTTTTGGCAAATACATATCCATAAATGCCAGACCTAGTCTTCAAGAAAAACAGCTTCTGACTCAAGAATTTGAAAGTTTAGAAAATAGTTGTGGCATGGAACTAGCATGAAATACAGATTTTTGAATTTGCTGTTGTTAAACAATAGTGGAATTTCACTTTTGATCCTTTGGCCCTCTTCAGATTCGGACAACACGATGAGTTATGTTCATGTAAGGTACTAATTGGGAGATTAAAGGCTTATATCATTTTAACAGATCCTTATTATTATTTTCCTAAACTATGTCTTTAGAACTGATAAAGTCATATGTATAAATTTACAATAGATATATATTAGATTTTTTTAATTGTTAAGAAAATATATTTTTTGAAATCCCTTGACCCAAATGTGAATGAAAAATAAATGTGTAAAAATTATAGTGATCATGTTATAATTATCATAATTATCTGTTTGAAAATAATTTCATTAGGAAAATAACATAGAATAGATCTATTTATTTGGCATCATGATTGTTATTAACTAAAACCTGCATAAAGAACTGTTTTCGTGTTTTAATTTCTGCCTTCTCGAGTTTTGTAACAGCGCTATTTAAAAACAACCCTCCAGGAGCAACAACATCCGTTACGTCATTTCCGCTTTCTATTTGTCAAACATGGCGTTGCTTCTAAGGTCAGTACGTCTGTCATCTGTAACTTTGGGTTGAGAAACAGCCTTTTTCTTGTGCTTTTCTTGGCTTGGCTTGTTATGATAAGACAATTTCCATCTCGTTGTTAGTGTGAACACCTTGCTGGAATATTGCCTCTAATTTCCGGCTGTAGTGAATGGTTTATATGAATGTTTTGCGACATGGTTGTAGCTAACTGGCTAATGCTAAGTGTTTCCAGAGACATTGAAAACTCATATTGGATTTATAGACTCTGAATATAACTAATGAGCGCTTGAAACGATTTTGTTCTCCCGTTTTTGTCCTTTTTTATGCTTAAATTCGGGTTAAGTCAGTTATTGTTCAGCCAGGTGCCTCTAACGGGTGATTTTCTGTTAGCCGAATAACTGTAGGTTAAATGTTGGTCTGCTGTTCATTGGAAGGATTGTTGAAGAAAGCGTTTCCGTCATTGTAACCTTAGAAAAAGTATTAAAAGGGTTGATAATGGTTTGAATTAAAGCTTTACCTTCTTTACTGCTCAACTTTAATTATTCCTCTCACAGAAAAAGATCTATCGCATATACAGACGTGATTTTTCTATCTTTGATTTCTCCAATTTCTCCATAATAATTATCTTCTTACTTAAATCTCTAAATGATCGTTTAAGTTATTGGTATTTGTTTTATACACTTTATAATAATGATTTGAGCCAAATTGTTTAGGAGATTAGCTAAAAACAAGTTTTACAGCAATAAAATAGTCAATTAACTGCGCTATCCCAAGAAAAAAAATTTCGTTTATTTTACATTTTTTTAAATTAAATCTTTCTTAGAAATAATAATTAAACTAACATGTTGTTTTTATTTTTTTCCTTCATAAATCGACCAAAGACAGCACTGTTCCAGCCTCAATCAAATTTTCTTTTCCTTTCCAGGACATTTGCCCGTCAGGGTGTCTCCCTCTCCAAACCTCATTACCAGGTCCTCTATAGACAGTAAGTTCTGTTCTTGTGTAATGATTCACTTGAATTAACTTTTTGACAGTAGATTCAATGACTGAAACTGTTCCTCGATGTTACAGCTCTTTAATAAAGCTTCTTCTTTGTTTATAAAAGCCAATTTAAGATCAGTCTTGTTTTGGTCAAAGCTTTCAGAAACAAAGCGTGCTTTCTGAGGCCAAAGGAGGCATAAACTAGAACTCTTTAGTTAAACTGACGGCTTTCTTAAAAAAAATAAATAAATCTGTTTGACATTCCTTTGCACGTTTCTTTTTAAAGCATAGCATATGGACTGAATTTTTCTTGATCCATAATGTTTCCTCTTTCTTTGTCTCAGAAACGGGTCTGTTGATTGTTGTTCATTCTTGTAAATTACTTCCACAAATCCTCTGTAAGGAACCTTACCACAGCATTTGATTCTAATTTTACTTTGCATGGACATGTAAAGACTGGTACCTTCCCTTTTTTTATCATGTTAGACACATTGCCAAACTAAGCTTTATCCTCTCAGTACTTGCCCTGGAATTTATTATTCATGCTTTTTTTTCCCTTCATGATTTTAATATTGTAATGCACTATAAACATGTCTTAGCAATAACTCCCTAGAATGTCTCCAAGCTGAATAAAATGCTTCCGAAGAAGTGTTTTTTTTTTTTTTTTTTTACAACATCCTCCAAGTTTTCACTCCATTAATGATGCATCTACACTGTTTTTTGTATATTTTAAAGTGCAATTTAAGATTCCTTTTCGGACTTAGAGGGCTTGTGGATGATGGGCATCAGTTCTTGTCAGGAGTTCTGCACTCCTATGCCCTGGCTTTTCCCTGTGGTCCTGTTAACTGATAATGGTAATCAAATGAGGATGATTCCCCACTAAAATGAAAATTAAAGGAGACGGAGTGTTCTGTTTAGTGACTACAGGATTCAGGAATTGTCCTTATTTGGACATGACTTTGATAGATTCTCTAGCCCCTTTTAAAAAGTCTTAAATCTGAATTTTATCAATTTCTCTTCTTTTTATGCATGGCTTTCTCTTGTGTGGAGCTTGGTAATTTTATTTCCTGCCAGCTGTATTTGCTGACACTCATATTCTGAAAATATTAAGTGTTTTCATAATTATTTTTGATGAAATATAGGGATCAATAATCTTAAAATAGCTCAAAGCCCATGCATTGTGTAGATCACTTCCAGATGACTCATTGCTGTGCATAGCTTGCATTTATTTATCTTCTGATCCTCCTTTGAGCTAGTTTACGTTTAAGAGATGACCCTTTATAAATGATGACCCCATAAAAACAGTGTAATCCAGCTGTTAGACATTACTTTGTAGTGAAACAATCACTTTTACTTAAAGTAATTTATCACATGAATATGGTAAATAACTTAAAATGTTGTTTTGTTTTTTTAAAATCATAAGCAGGTAGAAAGTGTCCTCTTATCGATAGCTGATTCAAAGCATCCAGCTGTAGAAATCTCTGTATCTTAGCTCAGAAGGCTCTAAAATGAAGATGAGCTTACGATCCTTTTATTTACATAATCTGTTTGCTTCCTTTCAGTGCTGCTCCAATGGGAACCACAGCTAAGGAGGAGATGAACAAGTTTTGGGCCAAAAACACCAGATTAAACAGACCCATGTCTCCCCACATCACTATTTACAAGTATGTACATCCTCATCTGTGGAAAATGAAGATAGCCCAAAAACATAAAGAGCACAAGATTAGTAACCGTAACAAGCTTATCAAGCTTTGCTTAGATAATGTAACTACGTTTTTAATTTCTGGTGCATACTTGGTGCAAACCAAGAATATATAATAATACTGTTTTGTTTGAATTAGAAAGTGTTGTTAGAAGATAATCACAGACTTTTGAAGATTTTGAGGCAAAGTGAGAGAACCCCGGTGGCTCGAACCCAGAACCTCAGGATTCTGAGCTCTATGCACTATCCATTAGGCTACCTCCCTGCCCTTTAGGCTTCCTCCCTGCCCTTTAGGCTACCTCCCTACCCTTTAGGCTACCTCCCTGCCCTTTAATCTTATTTGGAAAATCAAGGTGCCAACAGATGCACAATACAAATAAATTTAGATTTAGTGAAGTTTCTAAAGTGACTGATGGTTTGGGGAGTCACATCATAAATGATCCCTCTAAGCTGCACGGCTGCAAACTGCTCGCTCATTCCCAGTGCACAAGAAATTCTTATGCGGCACGTAAAAAAATAAATATATCATAAAATTTTAACCTATTAGACCAATTATTTTTTTCTTTTTCATTTTTAAATCCGTATATCATATCACATATTATGGAGGAACGGATAACAGTTTTTATTTGCAAGACCACATTAAATATGACATTTTTATTTATTTGGGCTCAGCCTGCTGGATTTGCTAGCCGGTTTTTTTGAATAAACAAAATTTTGCTGTTCTGGCCCATGATCTAAATACTCTTCAATGTCAGTTTCATGTATTATTATCGAATTATTTTTACAATAAAAGTCGTATTTGGATGAATGGTGTGGTGGTCAGGTATGGTGGCTGCAGCACTTAGATGTGAGAAGCTAAAAGAAATCTCACAGCTTCTGGATATTTATTCTACATTTCAACCATCCAATGCTGATTGTGAAAGAAGATTTAGCTTAATGAATCATATCCAAATAACGTCCAAAATGCTCTTAAAGCGGCATATTTAAGAGACAACCATTGGAGAAGTGAGGACAGACTAGAGAAATGGAAACAATTTATGCCAGATTAGTTCATACGCCAGTGTCATTTATTAGTATTTCTTATTTATGGCTATTAATCCTGAAATGCTAGAACTTTTATGTAATTTATATGTGTAGGAACGCAAAACAAGAGTAATTAAAGAGTTAAAGGAAGAGACAGAGTTGACAAACAGGGATTTATGCTGTGTCGCAAGTTTAAGCACATTGCATTCTGCAAAATTTGAATATTTTATTGTGGAAAAACAGTTAAATCTGAAAAGTGTGACATCTCATTTCTTCCAGAGCAGAACCCCCACCCTCACCAAAGCAAGACTCTAACATATAACATACTACACATCTCATGGCTTTTTTTGTTTGTTTTGTTTCCAAAAAACTTTAAAGTAAACCAGTGGAAAGTCCTTCTATAATCTATTAACTGTAACTTGCTGTGATCCCAGGTTTATTAGAGGGAACGTTGCACATAACCTGTTGGTGTTGGTCCATTATATCTCACCATGTTCAAATTTCGGAAACTTGTTTTTTTGTTAACCTTTTTTATGCTGATTTCACTTAGCAAAAGGTAATACCTACACACACTGCCAAAAGTACCAATATCTGCAATTATTGAGCATTTTTCTTTTTCTGGAAAGAAAACTGCCCTTATCTAAACTCCATAAAAAAAATTTATGTTCCAGTATGCAAATGGTAAAGAACCATGTTCTTCCTATCCTATCACAAAGGTACCAAAAGAAACAACTTTATCCAGAGGCAGAAGTCTCAGTAGACATTCCCACACTTCCCTCTAACCAGACACCTCCTCCAGCCCCTCTGGGGGGAGTCTATAGTGTTTCAGGGCCAGTTGAGAGAAATAGGCCCTCCAGCATGGAGAACATATGCCTAAACCACCTCAGCTGACTCCTCTTGATGTGGAGGAGCTCTACTGTGAGCCCTCCTGGATGGCGGTGCTCCTCATCCCATCCCTCAGCTCATTTCAGCCACTTGTGTCTGGGATCCATAGGTGAGGGAGGGGACACAGACTGACAGGTAAATGAAGAGTTTGGCTTTTCAGCTTACCTTCTCTATTCAATACAACCAATCTGTGCAGCATTACAGAGGCAGCCATGCTGATCTGTCTCCAAAATACTTCAGACACCCTTTTCAATTAGAGAACCATTGACGGAGTAATTCAAGCAAAATAAGTGGCAAACATGATTTCAGTGCATATTTTATAAGGAGCACAGATAAACTTGGAAAATTGGTTGAAATAAGCATATGAAATATATCGCTATGTGGTTAGAATATATATTATGAAGAGGTTTGACCTTTTAACGTGTATGATAGAAACAGATAGCCTTCTCATTGATTTTGTAGTTGAGTCGCACCGATACCTGTCAACCAAGATGAATATGCAACACTGTTCCTTGTATTTCAGATGGTCCGTTCCCATGTTGATGTCCATCACACACAGAGGAACCGGACTGGGGCTCAGCGGAGGTACAGCATTCCTTTTATTCAAGCTTAGTTTCTTTTATATTCCATAGACAGACGATGATTGTGATCCAGTATAGGTCTTTGCTGCTATAAATCTAAAATCAAAGTGAGGCTTTGCTTCACTTGAATCACTTCCGATTGACCCTGAAAATCTCTTCAGGGCATTTAACTCCCATCGCTATTGATTTCTCTTAAGAGCATTTACTGGAATAAAAAAAAGAGCAAATGTTACTCAATTAAAGTTGTGTATGTGAAGAGGCAGTTTAGCAGCTCTCATGTCTGCTGTAAAGGGTTGAACTTGAGTGGCTGCAGTGCTGCGCAGAAATGCCACTGACATTGATGGAACACGCTGTAAAAGCCGAGTTAAGTTTTGTTTTTCATGTTTATGCATTCAATAAAGGTCAGTTCTGTTGGCTGCCACTATGAGTGGCACACCTTATCAGTCATTTAGACCATTCAACCATCTGTCTGGATATCATATGTGCCAGTGAGCTTAAACTGTCACCTTCTCTAGATAAGCAATATCTTAACTAAAACTATATTTATATTTACATTGGGAGCTTCATTTCACTCTTTTAGTTTTGAAACGGAGGTCTTAATTCACCTTTATTCAGAGCTGTGATTTAGCTTTTACTATCTACTCTATTATTTAAACAGAATGAAACATTTTCTTTTTATTCGTTCAGACAGAATAAATAGAAGTGGAAGGGTTTTATTCATTTCTTTGTCTTAGAAAGCCAATGCAGCCACTGTTTGCTCTTCATTTTAACTTTAGTGACCACAGAGAAACTAGAATTGAGGAACTCGGTTTGTTAGGAAGTTCCAACCAGTCTGCTGAATCATTCATAGTCATGTTTGTAAAAGCATACAGGATTAATGACCCAGTCTGGGAAATCATGGGCCAAGAATATACAATATGTAGGAATTCAACATTTGAGTGAGTAAACATGATACATATTTAAACTTCTATCAATGTTTTTATTCTAGATTCTAGACAAAGATATATTGCTGCACAAATCCTTCCCTCCATTCATACCTTTGTCTCTTCTATTTATTTAAAAGAAATCACCAATCTTTCCTCCCATCTGTCCATTCTTTACTTTATCTTTAAATTAAATATAATTTGATTCATTACTAATCCTTTTTATCCACCTATTGTCCATCTTTACATTGATCACTTTGTTCACTCTTTTTTTCAGTCCTTTTGTTTCACTATCATATCCACCAATTCATGTTTGCCTGTTTGTCTTCCATGCGTCTGTCAGTGTTTAGCATTTTGCTCTCACCATATATTCAGCTTCCTGTGCATGTGAATGTTTCCACCCTTCTATTATTTTATTAATCTGTTCTAATATCCTGCCTGCTATGCTTTTTATTGCCTCAGTTATTCTCTGGCTGTTAGTGTTTCCATCTGAAAATGTGCTAATGACGGCATTTGGCCAAAACGCATCCAGCTTTCTCACATTAAGGGAAGAGAAAAGATAACACAATGCTGCTAGCCTTTTTTTTTTTTAGTTTTTTTAATCTCTTTCAGAACAGAGCTCAGAGTAGTTGTTTTTAGTTTTTCTGCACTGACCAGTTTCCTTGTGCAATCGTTTTAAGTATCTGTCGTTCACATTTTTCACCATCCATCCAGCCTTAACGATTTTTCCATGAATAAGATTTAAAGCATTAGTTTTAAAATAAAGTATCAAGTTTTCATCCAAGTGATGTGTGCAAATATTAAATGTTTGTTTTTTTTTATCCTACAATTTTATTCTTTTGCTCTTGTGTCTGTTTTCAGCTATTTCAGCCTTTGCCGTGGCTGCATTGGTCTTACCTGGAAACTACCCCCATTACTTGGACCTGATCCACTCCTTGTCCGTCGGTCCTTTTCTAATTGGGCTGGCAAAGTTCGGCATCGCCTTTCCCTTCTCCTATCACACTTACAACGGCATCCGTCACCTGGTAAGACTTCAGCATTTCCTCCAAAATAGCTGAAAATGTCAAGCTATTTTCCTGATAAACCTATGTAATGTTTTTGATCTGTGTAAAAATTCATCCTTTATATTTAAGATCTGATTGGTCTGTTTGTTTTCTTTTCTGTATACATCATGATTCATAATTTTTCTTAAACTGTATATCCTTAAATTGAAAGCTAAATGCATAGTCAGACATACAATCTGAGGGATTATTTTTCCACTATTGCTTCTTTTATATGGATTGGAATATTATTGTTTTTTATTTTATTTTTTGCAGTATTGGGATATCGGCAAAGGCTTCAAAATTCCAGAGGTCTACCGCACCGGCTACACAGTCATCGGCCTGTCCATCATCACATCTGTAGCTTTGGCTTTGATGTGAGCAAAGAGGAGAGAAAAGTGGAGCAGAAGGGATTGTGGAATAAATGAAGTGTGAACGTTTTGTTTATATGTCGTGGCATGCTATCAGCCTCTTTTCACCTGAATAAAAAAATAAAGAATATTATACTGTACCTGGAAAATGTGTGATTTATTTTTTTCCGTTTTTCATCTAAACCTTTTGGGTCTTCTAAAGTAATAGAAGGCAAAGCGCATGCAAATATGACCCAGTTTACTTTACTCTGTGTTTGAATAACAAGCACCAGTTAAAATTATACATGTCCTACATGTCGTCCTTACGTAATTTTTTTTTCTAATCACTATGTGACGTCAAATTAATTACTTTTCTCTGATTTAAGTGCTCCAACATTGCCAATGTGAGCAGGGTGCCCTATAGAGTATGCGTCTGAAGAGCTGTTTATTGCTGGATCTTTTTTGATCTTTCGCTCTGCCCATAGCTCACAGGTGCTTAGATACATTTTTAAAACCTCATGGAAAGGGAACAGGAAAGTTGAGCCAGTGGTGGAAGCTGCAAGCGGGAACCTGCTTCTCACCAGCATCCTGCCTCCGGCTCTACCTCCCTCTGAGCTGCACAGGAGCTGAACAGCTTTCGTCCTGCAGAGAGAATGAAAGCAGATTCTGATGTTATGTCAGATTCAGCCTCCATTTATGAAGTAAACAGTAAAAATGGCAGATGGGAGGGGGGAGAAAAACGAAGAGGGCAAAGAACAAGGTTTGAAAATATGTTCTGATCAGCAACATTTGTAAACAGACGGAAGGAAGATGCTTGGTTATTTTATCAGAACTGGTTTCAGCCTTTTGTTGTTGACTCTGTGGGATTTTTGAATTGAGTTTAGGCATTGTGGTGGAAAACTATTCTGAAACTCGATGTATTTATCCCAGCAAACCAGGGTGTTTCTGCAGTAACTGCCAGAGCCTGAAAAGCTAAAGCATTAGTGCTTTTGATGGTGCTGAATTCCCCTCAGCTTTACGTCACCCCCATAATTGGCCAAACACGTCTATATTTAACCACTGCCAGCTTAAAATAATTATCTGTGTAACACTATCTCTTGAAGAGCGTTCTGTATGTGTGGTCTGATAGCAGTGAATTTGGCATGTAAATGACTTCCTACATGGAGTCTAATCAAAGCTATGGGCACTTTTTGACCCCAGCTAAAGATCCATTGGGAATACAAATTACTATTAATATGCAGTGGAAAATTACTTAAGATACAAAGTACAATGCAGAATTATTTATATACAGTGAGGAATATAAGTATTTGAACACCCTGCTATTTTGCAAGTTCTCCCATTTAGAAATTATGGAGGGGTCTGAAATTCTCATCATAGGTGCATGCCCAATTTAAGATACATAATCTAAAAAAACAAACAGAAATCACAGTGTAGGATTTTTTTTTTAAACTTTTTCTATGATACAGCTGCAAATAAGTATTTGAACAGCTGTCTATCAGCTAGAATTTTGACCCTCCACCCCATACAGTCAGTAAGAATCCAACTACTAACAAGACCAAAGAATTGTCTGCAGACACCAGAGGGTAAACCCCCACAATGCTGGAAAGGGCTATGGGAAAATTGTCAAGCAGCTTGGTGAAAAAAGGTCCACTGTTGGAGCAATTATTACAAAATGGAAGAAACATGACTAAATCTCTCTCAGACTGGGGCTCCATGCAATATCTCACCTGGTGGGGTCTCAATGATCTTAAGAAAGATGAGATGTCCGCCCAGAATTACACTTGAGGAGTTGGTCAATGACTTGAATAGAGCCAGGACCACTGTTTCCAAGGTTTCTCTTGGGGGACATCATAGTTTGAAATCATGCATGGCACGGAAGGTTCTCCTGCCTAAACCAGGACATATCAAGGCCCATCTTAAGTTTGCCAATGACAATTTGGATGATCCAGAGGAGTCATGGGAGAAAGTCATGTGGTCAGATGAGAGCAAAATAGCTTTTTGGTCATAATTCCACTAACTGTGTTTGGAGGAAGAAGAGTGATGAGTACCATCCCAAGAACACCATCCTTACAGTGAAGCATGGGGGTGGTAGCATCATGCTTTGGGGGTATTTTTCTGCACATGGGACAGGCTGGCTGCACTGTATTAAGGAGAGGATGACCGGGGCCATGCGTTGCGAGATTTTGGGGAACAACCTCCTTCCCTCAGTTAGAGCACTGAAGATGGGCGGTGGCTGGGTCTTCCAACATGACAATGACCAGAAGCACACAGCCAGGATAATCAAGGAGTGGCTCTGCAAGAAGCATATAAAGGTTCTGGCGTGGCCTAGCCAGCCTCCTGACCTAAACTCAATAGAGAATCTTTGGAAGGACTGTTTCTCAGCGACAGCCCAGAACAGGACTGATCTAGAGAAGAATGTGGAGGAGGGGGCCAAAATCCGTGTGTGCAAAGCTGGAGAAAAACTACAAGAAACGTTTGACCTCTGTAATTGCAAACAAAATGTACTGTACCAAATATTAACACTGATTTCCTAAGGGCGTTCAAATTCTTATTTATGGATGTATCATACAAATAAATAGTTTTTTAAAAATGATGCATTGTGATTTTTTTTTTTTTTTTTGTCTTAGATTATGTCTCTTTGAGTGGACATACAGCTACGATGACAATTTCAGTCCACTCCATAGTTTCTAAGTAGGAGAACTTGCAAAATAGCAGGGTGTTCAAATACATATTTGCCTCACTGTAGGTTTTCTTACATTTTGACAACCAACCTTTTAGGATTTTATTACGACTTTTTGTACTTAAATAAATCAAAGTAAGCATTTGTGAAGAGGAAAGTTATACAAGGTTTTAGTTATTTAACAAAAATCTGAACTGGGTCATGCATTTTTCTTCTAAAGCCCTGGAAAATATTTTTGAGAACATAGAAACTAACAGCAGACAGGTCAGGGATAAAGTTCTGGAGCAGATAAAAGGTTTTTAGAAAATCAAATATATGAAACAAAAAGGTCAAGATATCTGTCCACCTAATCTGACAAGTTGGTGAATCAATGAGAGCGGCGCCTAGGAATCAAATATGGAGAAAATGACTCAGGTAAGATAAGACAAATTCAAATGGCTGTTATACATATGAAGCACTTAGTGGAGGAAAACTAATGTTAGGCATCACCCTGAACTTTCCATTCACACTGCAACAAGGAGGACGTTATAATGCTATAGAAATGCTTTCCTTTAACGTTACAAGTAACCTGGTCAGAGTTGATGAGAAGAAAGATGAAGTAACATTTTGAACGAAAAACTCTTCTGTAGTCTGTAGGATTCATGTATATAAGTCCAGGTCCTAAACCCTTTATGAAGCTTTATAAAAACCTCAAATATACAACCAGAAAATAGAAAAATTATGTTTAAAAATGACCAGATCTGCTCCCCACTCTGAGATTGAGCTATATTAAAAGAAAAACGGGCCAAACAAACAACATACAAATCAAGCCTCCAGATGT